AAACCAGCCTTTGCGCCAATCCAGCCCGATTAAGGTTAAATTCGCAACCGTTTTTATTAACTGAGAACGACGGTTAACATCTTTATTTCGCAGTAAATCGGCAAAATATCTTTGGAGTTTGCGTATACAGTAGCATCTACGCTCGTAGCAGTGGCAGTTTTCCTGCATAGGGTCTACAGCAGTTCGGAGCGACTTTTCCATACGTCGAACTTCGGCCTTAATACGTACTGACTTGTCATCGTGAATTGCCTGCAAGATGACACGCGATCCTCCACGCCGAGTCACTCGCTCAAATACGGAAAGCGACTCCAATGTCGACGCCGATGCAGCCGCAGGTGAAAGGAACACCACTGCAGTAAACCAGACTTCTGCCGCCGATACATGTGTTACTGCGACCACCAGCGGAGCCCCAGCTAGGGGCGCTTCAGCAACATTCGTAGCTGCTAGTATCCCAGATGGTAGCGATACAGCTCCCACTGCGGCCGGATCCATTAAGGCTACTCCAGGCAGAGAGCCGAGCGAAGCCGCTCCTGTAGGAGCCACGAAGAATTTCCCAGCCAGGGAACCTAGCAACGCCGCTCCCACTGCTGCCGGAGCTATTAAGATCGTCCCATCCAGGGAATCCAGAGACGCCGTTTCTGGTGCCGCCGGAACTGTTAAGGTTGCCCCAGCCAGGGAACCCAGTGTTGCCGCTCCCAATGCCACCGGGGCAATTAAGAAGGTTCCCGCATCCAAGACTGCCGCAGCTCCCACAAGCTCGTCGTCTATTGTCACATCTCGACAAGAAAGTGACCTTCTGGCCATGGAAAGACAAATCGCCCTGCTGGAAAGGGCTTTGAAGGAACGTGATATACAAAACGAGATTCTGAAAGTGGCGCTCCAGAATAACGGTGGTACCGGTAGTAGCGCAGCGTCTGTATGCGCTGACGTCGCCACACAGCGGTCGCCCGCGTTGCCATCGACTCAACCGTTATCCGTGCAGCCGGTAACTGTACATGCAAATACGGGACCAACATTCGCCGACATCCGCTATTCGCTTCCAGCCAGTACAGCTACTGTGTATAGCTCAGCCAAC